TGTCTTGCCCAAGGACACAACGAGCCACGGTCGCCTACTAATCGGAAGGTTGGTGGTTTGATCCTTGTCTGCTCCCGTCTGCAAGCCAAATATCCTTGGGCAAGATACTAACCCCAAGTTACTCTCCGATTCATCCATTGGAATATAAATGGGTGAAATCTGTGTAAACCGCCTTGACTGCTCAGAGTAGAAAAGCACCATATAAGAACCATGATACCAAAGTATTCTAGAGTCAAATGTGAGGCCATCTGTCTGACAACATCCCAAGCAAATCTACAACAGGATGGCTGAAAAAGAAAAGACAGTGGTGCAATGTCCAGTGCAAAGTCCAGACATCAACCTGTGCATTAACAAATGTCCACACACCTCAATGTGCAGAAGCAATGCTGTAAAGAAGAGTGAGACAAAACTTCTCCGAAGGTGAGAGACTGAAGAAATCATGCAGAAAACGATGGCAATGCTAAAAAGTGGTTCTACAAGCTACTGAATAAAGCGGCATATTCAGCTTTTGTCACAGGACTGTATAAAAGATGGATGTAGGTACCGTGACATCATCCACTGGGTTGGGAAGTCTGAAACTAAAGAAAAGCAATTTGTCAATCACAGGTTTTTACCCTGGATAATCCTCCTATTAGACTCTAAAAACAACCAAAATTTACAAGATGGACTTCATGCTTTGAGAACGTCATGAAACAAGTGAATAAATCAACCAGGCAGAGGTCTACTCAGGGTCAGCAACCGAGACGCTTGCATTTCAAAAAAGTGTGGAGAGTGGAAACCCAGCGTTGACTTTGTCCATCTTTGTCCATGACTGATGTTCATTGTGTTGGAGTGTTGGCCATATAGAGTGCAGTATGAGCCATAAAATTGTGCTCACTGGTGTGATTAAATCCTATAATTGGGTATGTTTGTTGATAGGAAGCAATACTGCCAGAATACGACATCTGAGTTGTTTTAGAAACAGACTCCATCAAACAGATTGCTGGCACATGAGTGTAACACTTACAGCTGAAATGTATTCATGTTTTTGGCAAACAATGAAGAACAAGAGAATTTATCACAAAGTACTGGCATCAAGTTTTTTCAAATCACATCTGGTTTCGCTGTGTTTAATTAATCACATAATTCAGCGAGCAAGCTGAACAGATGACTAAGATGGAGAAAAGAAAAAAAAGTGGTTTACATGAAATAGAAACTTTTGCTGACCATAATTTGCTTAACCACAGAGACAGATTCATGCCTGGCATCGGACAAGTGATCGGTCTGCACGTGTCTAGAGACAATGTTCAGGCTTGCGAGT